TGTTTAACACTCTGACAGTGTGTCAGTGTATCTGACCTTTCCTGTGGCAAATGTATCCAGTGCACAAATCGCTGCCTGCTTTGAGTCTGACGTTATGAGCTGATTGTTTGGTATCTTTTCTTGTTGTCTTGTTGCGTGTTTTTGTTCATGCTTCTTGTTTCACCAGTTTCTGGCTTCATGCATTGACAGTGGGCAGGTCTCTAACTGGTTGTGTTTTCCTGTAGGAAAGAAACAAATTGTCAGTGAGATAACTGACAGGATAGAATAAGCTACATGCCTGTTTTGGACGAATAGTGATACTATATAGTAACTTAACCATTAAGCCATTAATCATTGGGCCAGAACAATGTAATATTTGATAGTTGATTAACATACTCATGTTTAGTGAAGGGGGGCTTTGTCGCAGGTGACCTCTGTGAGCTGTTCCCCCTCCGTACTAAATGTCTGAACTCCTGTCTGTTGCATACTACCTCTTGGAATGGTTATACTCTTCAGCTTCACTCTTCTAAAGCCAGGACACGCACAAAGGTTGGAATTACCAAGATGACAATTTGCTGATAGACAAAAGGTTTTGTGCAAAGACATGATACAAACACAGACTTCTTTTACTTTTCCATGCATACCCATTGTTGGTCCCATCTCCTTCTTCAAGCATTTTCAGGCCTGGGACTTTCTGTCCAAAAAGTTTCACAGCAATGGACATGAGGAGGCCACAGCAATTTCTGTAGCAGCAAGTGGCATCTACTACCAGGAACACCAGCAAGAAGATCCCCATGACGACGCCAACCATGGTGCCTTTAGTCATACTGTGACTACTCATTTTGGCTGGGGGAAGAGATTAATAAAAAAAATTCTAGATGACCAAACTGACCACACATTCTCATCAGGGTTGAATTAACATAGCCTTCTTGGTGGACTGTTGTTTCTTTGTGATTGGAAACTTACCTTGACTAGTCTTCTCTTTTCTAAACACAGTTGCTGGGGTTGCCTTAGTAGCCTAAGGTTTTAAGGCACTGACCACAAACTGGACAAAGTCCATTGGTTGATAGTAGCCAGGCAGGGACCATGTTCTTCTCTATTTCAAACTGAGGTAAACTTCAATGGCATGAATTTTAACATTACATTATTACCAAAGCTACTGTCTCTCTTCATCTTCCTCCTTATGTCTTATCATCTTACTACTATCAATTCTCCAATAATAATTCATTAAAAAAAAACTAACTGTGGTAAACTCTTTTTTGATTGATGTGTGACTTGATTTGATTGTGGTAAATCTCTGGAGCTTGAGTTGTGGTCTAAAATAAACAATGAGAAATGTGTGCCTGTGGGACAGAACTTTCCTTTTTACTTGTTTGACTAGTAATGAAGCATAAATCCTCCAGCAGAGAGCCAGCATTTCCACTGTTTAACTTTGACCATGGGTTGCTTTCACACAGTGGTATTTTAAACAAATCATTTAATGTACAACTGTAATTTGGAAACTAGATATGGTGCTTACTTGGCTTCAATTTTAAAAATTTAGAGGGAACATTTGCAGCTGAATGGCAAGGTGAGGAAAGGAATCATTCTTATTGACCCCAGGTTCAAGCTTTTGTGTTGTCAAGCAGTCATGAATCCTCACTGAAGCGCTGCCTAATTAGTGTGTTATTATTATTACCAAATGAGTATATGGGGCTGCAATACTGATTTTGAGCCACCAGTGGGCAGATTGAAACAATGTCCACATCCATCAGTGAGCCTGCACTTAAAGAGCTGTGCATCAGTTTGACCTGAAACTATTTATTCCACACTAGTGATTAGTTAATTAGCCCAGATGGCTGCTAAATGACCAGGGGCTGCACACCTGGTTTCTACGTACAAACCAAGATTTAAAGTCATTAGATGTCCAGACACTAAAAGAGCAGACCTTCACACCTTAGGGTGTACCTGGTTGCACATTTGGGTTTTTAGAATTTCCTTTATAGTAAAAGATTATTGTGAGTCTGGTGCATGTAACATGGATTTAGTGTTAAAGAGAACAGTACAAGTGATTTTTGTCATTTTAGTGTCTATACCATTGTAGCTTTTACACCTATTCACAGCTAATTATGGAGCCCAGTGAATAATCATGTTTGGTAAGAGTTTACTTCCCTGCTAGCTGGTTAGATGCTGGCTGCTCTGATAATGTTCCTCATGGGCCTGTGAAAGGCTGATCTGATTTCTGCAGATGGAGCAGCAAACTCAGCCTCAGTGTTCAGTAACAGGTTCCAGATTTTGTAAAGCTATACAAGTTCCAAGTCTAATGCTCCGTGATTTCAGGGGTAAAGCATATTGTTTCAGCGTGTGGTGTCTGCTCTCTGCAGACTTCAGGGGCCACAGGGGCCAATGAAGATGATAGACTTTACACTGCAGACAAGGCTGCTGGGAGGCTGTGTGAAAAATATTATGCAGATGCCAGAAAACTCTTTACAGATGAGGGTACATGTTAATAAGTGGCCCCTTCTTCAACATCACTTTAACAACTCTCTCATCCATTGAACTTGTCAATGTTTCTGCCTGTATTTCACTTAATGATACTAGAGCTGTTATTTTAATTGCTGCCCACACTTATAAATGGTAAATGGATTTTTATAACACTTTTCTATGCAGTGAAGCACACTCCAAGCACTTTCACACTGTTAATCCATTTGCACTCATACCGTCACACAACAATGGGACAGCCACTGTGAGTGACTTGAGGTTCAGTGTCTTGCTGGGAATCAACAGTGGTGGAAAAAGTACTCAGATTCTTTACTTAAGTAGCACTACAACAGTGTAAAAATACTGTTACAAGTAAAAGTCCTGCATTCAAAATGTTACTTAAGTGCAGAAATATTAGCATCAAAACATACTTAATGTTCTAAAAGTGCTCATTATGCAGAATGGCACATTTCACATTCCTGTATATCATATTATTCTATTATAATTACTGATGCATTATTGTGGACATCACATTTAATGTTGGGGCTGGTAAAGGGGGAGCTAGTTTTAACTAGCCTATAAACATTTAATATGAATTACTGCTGTGTAGCTTGTCAATCTTCCACCACAGATCAATGAGGTCTTATAACTGTACTTTATTTTGTATTAATCTGGTTCTGAAAATTAACTAGTAACTAAAGTAAAAAAAAAGTGTAGTGGAGGAAAAATACAATATTTGCCTCTAAAATGTAGTGAAGTCAAAGTATAAAGTAGCAGAAAATGAAAATACTCAAATAAAGCACAGATACCTCAAATTGTACTTAAGTTCAGTACTTGAGTAAATGAACTTTGTTACTTTCCATCACCAGGAATTGAACTGTGAATCCTTCAATTAGGAAACAACTTTTTTTCTCTTCCTCCTGGGCTACAGCCACCCCGGATCTTCCTTATAAGAATGCTCCACAGTTCCTTGGTAGGATTGCGATCAGGGGATGATAGCTGCCACACCATGAGTTTGTCTTCTTCTATGCCCTTAGAAACCAAAACATTTTACGTGCTGTGGAATGGTATATTATCCTGCAGGAAAATAATTTTATTCCAGAAATCATGATTTGTTCTTGCTGAAGGTAGGAAATGGTCAGTTAGGAACTCCGCATATCTTGCAGAGGTCATTTTGACACCTTCAGGTACCCTAAAGGACCTACCATGATCACTCTGCCATCTCCTTGCTCACGCTGCAATCTCATTGAAACAGAGTGGCCTTTTACCAACCATCCAGGACTCCATGCATGTAGACTATCAAGTGTAACATGGCCTTCATCAGTGAATAAAACTGAAAATTTGAATTCATGTATCTCTTTGCCTACTGCAAATGTTTCTATTTGTGAACTTTGGTTAAGGGTCATAGCATCGTGCTATGGGGTGCTTCTCAGTGGCAGAGACAGGGAGACTGTTCAGAACTGAGGGAACAATGAATAGGGCAACCTTTTAGCACAACAGTGAGTCAAAGCTTACAGCTACGACAACAGTGGAGTGGCTTTGGGGCAAGTCTCTGACTGTCCTTGAGTGGCCCAGTCAAAGCCCAGGCTTAAATCCCAGACAACATCTGTGGAAAGACCTGAAGATCAGTTCACAGACCCTTCTCACCCAATCTGACAAAGGCTGAGAGGATCTGCCAGGAAGAATGAAATAACCTGCCCTGTTCCAGATGTGCAAGGATTAGAAACTTACCCCAGATGACTCGAAGCTGTTAAGTGCTGCCAAAGAGCTTTTACAAAGTACTGATTCAAGGATTTGAATATTTTTGTAAACTAGAGATTTCAGTTTTTGATTTTTGATAAATTAGGAAACATTAAAACACATCCACTTCGTTATTATAGGTTATGTGTGCAGAAATTTTATCAAATTTAAATTTACAAGTAATAATGTGCAAAAATAACACGAAGAACATCAGAAAATGTTCATATCAAAAAACAATGGATCATTATCAAAATAGCATACCATTTCTCTGTACATCAACTAATCTGTTCAGCTCCACTACTGTAGACCACTATTGTTTGGACCATTTAAATAATCACAGCTTTACTTATATCATATTCAAAATTATGCCTTAAATAAAACTGTGGTTAAAAAATAGACGAGGAATGACCAGCAGTAAATTGAGGAGAGTGTATGCGTACAGTACAAACTCTTGTATGTAAAACACAATCAGGCAAAAAAGTGGGGGGTTGGGGGATCAATAACTCATCACAAGCTGTAAGCCAACCTGGGCCAACAACCATTTGTCACACACACAAAAATGTCCACCCATTTAATCAAGGGTACAGTGCTGAGAATAATCAACCACCAGGCAATTTATCAGTCAGTTTGTTCAGAAATGGGTAAGCTAATTAATGAAATGACTGAAGAAAGCAAGGGCAGCCAGACAAAGGTTAGAGAACGGTTAGTGCTTGTGCGCTGGTTATTTGTCAAAGTGTGACTACCCACTGATTAGATACGTTACAGCCCCTTCTTCTGGGTGTGCTACAAAAATACATGAAGATATACAGAATAATAAACTCTGTTTCTTCAAGGGAGAGTGAGTGTGATCTCAAGCTCCAATTTGTTTTACGTGTGCAACCTCTTGTGATCTCCCAGTAGCACAAAGACACCTCAGGGACCGCTGGGCCCCATATCCTGACATGTGAGGTGCAGAAACCCCAGAATATATGTAGCGCATAATGCTTCTATGTGACAAGCACACAATTATTATAATGAAGTACATCGGTTTATTCATTCACTGGTACAGTCATGTTCTGTAACTGGTTTCCACTGAGATACTGCTGCTCCAGATGGAGTGACAAACATGGCTTTCCTGAAGTTTTCCTTTTTAAATTAGTTGATGAACAAAAAAGGATTAGTAGCAATTTAATTATTAATGATTTAAGTCACTTTTCAAGCAAAAACTCCAAACATTTCCTTCTTCTAACTCACCCAATGTGAGAATTTGCTCCTATTTTTTGTCTTTTATAAAAGAAACTTCAGCATCTGTTTGGTTAGTTGAAAACAAAAAATAATAAAAAATAAAAGTTTACAGACTATACAGGTGGTAATCGATTAAGAAAATATTCTGTGGATTAAAAAAAAAACTATTAAATAATCCCATTAGCATATTATAAACATGCTTTGTACAGCTATAGTCACTGAGTCATTCATCATTTTAACTGCTTCATCAAAATAACAGCACAGGAAAGCAAAGGTGCATGCGTACTTTCTCTATGCTACCACCATCTTGCCTCCTATATTTGCATATAAATGTTGATGCACACTAATTAATAACCAGAAACACATACACTGAAGGTCAAAGCACTGGAACAAAGCCCATAGTTCAGGTAAATGTAATTAGAAAATATATAATGAGTCTGCACACACTGGAATTGATGTGCTCTAACAGAGACAATTAAGCAGCACAGTATTCAGACCTTCCAGCCTCATTTACCCCTCACTTCTGTTCTACACATTTTCATGTTAAAATTAAACAATATGTTTCCAAATGTCTTGTTTTAGAATTAATAATTTGCTCCTTTTTGCCACATCTATGTAAATTTGAGACCTAGAGAGCACCTGATATTGCTTCATTAAAACTCTTCTAGCCTCCTTTGCACTCTCACTCACTCCTTGTCTGTTCCCTCTAATAAGTTAAGTTATACCTGTCTATCTCCTTGTATGAGGAAACCTAGGCTTCTCATGCATCCATGGTCCTCTCCCTCCTCCCCTATTTTAGCATGCCTGTGCCAGGTATTTGTTCAAATTCCTCACACCCCATGGGGATAGGTATGTCCCCCCTTCCCCCTCAGCACCTCTCTTGTCTTTACTGCCTGTCTCTGTCTATCGTATGTGTGCCAGCACATGTACTGTATGAAGCAGCCAATGTGGTCTCCCCACTACCAACATAAGACGTGCAGCAGCATAAGCATTTTACTGGCGGGTCACAACCAAATCATTTCCAAGTTGTTCAGGCTCTTGAAGCTGGCAAACCACAGCTGCCTGCCAAAAACAACTCAGGGGATAACAGGCAACTGTAAGTTGCTTTTGATAACTGCTGAAAGACCCATTTATTCTGTGATGCTGTCAGAGCTTAAAGTCAGACTGCTTATTAGGTCTACCAGTTAAACTTGTCTCTGACATGGAAATATGTTGATGCAGGCAAGTACACTGGACAATTAATTTCCTCTATAACACCAAATCGCAGTGTGCTGGAACACGAGCTGATGTGGTATTGACATTGGGTCAGAGCTGAGCAGCATTAGTGACTGCAGTGCGTCATGAAATGACAGCAAATACCGATGACACACTGGCTCAGCAGGTCTGTCTATCTGCCCTTCCCACAGAGAGTTAAATTCAATCTCACTGGAAGATTACACCATGCAATTTTACATTTATGCTTACAGTTCTTAATTTTAGTGCTGAGAGATTTAAAGAGACAAAGAAAGAAAGAAATCGTAGGTCAGTCATAAAAATAAGAAAACCAATAGTGTCATTTTGTTATGTATTTGGCAGTTTACCTACGTCACTACATTCTTTTATAAATCATCTCTTCAAAATGTATCAACAGCATTATAACTTAATATAACTCTTCCTACATTTTAAAACAGCCAGGCTTCAGAAATCCATCACAATAAATTGGTCACAATACATGTCTTAATACAAGGCCCATCTACTGTATGTGACTTGTACAAAAATTGTATTATTTGCCAAAATATGGTGTGTCAGTACCATTTATGGTCAGATTCTTGACCTTCATGGAAAGTCTTTGCAGTGTGTTCACAGTGAGAGTTACGCCTGGCTCAAAGGTACTAAAAATTCATTAGTCATCAAACATGCTGTAAATCTCCTCAAATGTGGCTATAAAATATACACATTTAAAGCAGGCACAAATATGACGTTTAACTGTGTTTCAACTTCTTATAGCAGCTGCGGGCTGGATTACTCAGAGTGTGTGCTCAGTCATATTTTAAAGCAAGTGAAATGGACAAACAGCAGTTACCATAAAGCTAATGTTTTCAAACAGATTTCATCCACAAAACACATTTGATAAGCCTTAATTAGGCTTACCAACACTATTAATTGTTGGAGAGTGAAGTCTATAATTACAGTAGGAAGGTCCTTGTTGTTATTCTGTTGCTCTGATCCTTTCACTGAATGAAAAAATAAACATTTAATTCACTCTGTGGGGGTTTCCTGGACCCCAGCTCACGCCAACACAATTTCATGTTGAATCCTATGCAGGATAAGCCCCTTCACTGGGCATGTCATCCCACCCTCTTTCCACTCACACACTCCTCTCCCGTTGACATCAAAGACTGAGCTGAAGAGTCAAAACTGCACTGAAGACTGGACAAGACAGGCAGCGAAGATCAGATCACACAGTGCAGAGGAAGATTATCACCACAAACCTACGCCACCTCCTCCGGCTGATGATAAAGATAATCCTAGTTACATGCCTGAAGAGGTCAGCGGGACTTCAAGACAACAAATGAGCACCAGAGGGAGATTTCAAAATGGAAATGGAACTTCTTCACCAAATGAATCTGTGGGACATTGTTTTTACAGCATCTGGAATTAAACTGTTCTGGGGTAAGTTTAGGTAAACTAGTTTGGAGCATTAATGACTATGCCTAACTGTGTAAATTATTGGCCTATTGCAGATAATCCTTTTCTTTAGCATTGACAAAGGCCTTAAACAGGCCCATTATGCAAAGGTTTTTTTTCCCCTTCTATTCCTTTATATCTCAACAAGAACAGCACGTTGACTACCACCATGTGAAACCAACGTTTTTGTGGATGTCTAGGTAAAATATTTAAAGTAGCCTAAATTTAATTTTTATTTATTGCAAAGCCTACAGTCTCAAATTCATCTTACCAAAGCCAAGAATACAAGCTAAATTTATTTAACTTGTGGGTTGGACTTCAGATGAAACCATTATCAATTTTTTTGTCTATTTCTAAATATACATGTAGTTTCTATAGAAACATTGAGTATTTGCATTAAATATTCCATCTTATTAGAATAATTCAGTTGAATAAAGGAAGCAATCCTTTTCTTTTTCTAAAAGCCCTGTCATGAATAACTCTACACCACAGCGGTTATTTTAAGGGAGCTGATAGTATATGGAGGCACGCGGCACCGTGGGGGTTCGGCTGCTCCTCCACAGGTCAGCAGTAGCTCGTTAACCCTGGTCTTGCCTGGATCACAGTGCGTGATAGGCCATTTCTGTCTGCTTTGATGTAGTTGTGGATTACATCTCTGCAAAAAAAAAAAAAAAAAAAATTACTGGCTTAGACAAAAAGTAGAAGCCAAGGCTCATCTCACAACTGATGAAATGTCACAAAAGGTAATGTGGCCTAAACTATATTAACACCCTCGACTTCTGGAGCAGCAAAGTATATCTGGCTACAATTTCAGCTTAATCAAAATAAAGTTGAACATAGCACCAATCATCAGCCTTGAGCGGCTGCCTGTGTGGTGCACGGACTATCCGCCACCAAAACCAATGCTCAAACCAAAAACTGTAAATCAAACTTTGACTATTTAAGACCTGTTTTCGTACTTTACTAACTTGTAAAGCATGTCCTTCTATAACCTTTTTGTGCCTCATTTAGCCCAACTGTTGACCTTAAGAAGGAACAAGCCTTTGGAGGCTTCAGTCTAGATTTACAGCCTTAAATTGGAGCCCTCCTACTCTGAAAATTCAATTATTTTACTAAAACCATGACCGCTTTCCTGTCTCCCTGTGAAACTATAAAACTGTAACAGTTTTGCTAACCAGAACAGGATTCTGCTAAAACATATAACATCCTGGCTTTGCCGACATTTTCATTTCTACATGTTTATAAGACTATTTACTTTATCTGCTATCACCATTCAAATGCTCTGTTAAATGCCTTGCAGTGCAGTCAGAAATCCAAAGCAGCTTGTAGCTTTGTTGTCCTTTACATTTTGTCACACAAATAAAGGGGAAAAAGTATAACAAAGAGTAAGGTGGTGATAAAAACTAACCATATCTTTATTGTTGTCGTTTCCACCTGTCTCTTTCTGTTGATCCAACACACCCCACCTCCCTCCTCTCTGTCTCATCTTTGCATCTGAATCAGACTGACATTTAAACATTCACCAGCTACATTCTTTATAACTCAAAATCTTTTCATAATTTTCCCATTATGGACATCTCAGGTTCTTTGCCTACCCCCTTTACTTACACTTTCTCTGTTATCCCCAATTCCTCAGTGCCTTCCTCCTCTCCCTCCATCTCTCCTTCCCCCAGCCGGGTGTCCACAGCTCTGTTTTGTGCACTCCTCTCCCTCCTCTCCTTGCTTGGCATCACAGGAAACCTGTACACTATAGGCCTCCTTCTGAGGCGCAGGAGAAGTAGGAGACGACGTGAAGCTGGGCTAAGCTGCTGCCTCATGAAAGTACCTGTACTATCCTGCCTTGCCAACTCCTCTTCCCCTTCTTCCTCTGCCACCTCCTCTTCCTCCTCTCTTTATCTCCAGGTGTTGAGCCTTGCTCTTGCTGATCTGCTCTACCTTTTCACCGCTCCCTTCATTGTGTATGACAGCCTAGCATCTGGCTGGGCCTTCGGTGAGCTGGGCTGCCGTCTCCTCCTGAGCTTGGACCTCCTCACCATGCATGCCTCCATCTTCACTCTCACCGCCATGAGTCTGGATCGCTACCGGGCTGTGGCTCATCCCTTGCACACCACCTCCTCTAACTCCTCCAGCTTGCTGCGTGTAGGCCTTGCTTGGGGGCTGGCTGTGGCTCTTAGTCTGCCAATGATGATCACCCTGCACCTGGAGGATGGGGAGAACCAAGAGGGACAGCTGTGTGTGCCAGCATGGGATGAGCAGAGCTCCAAGGCCTACCTGAGCGTACTGTTCTGTACCAGCATCCTTGGTCCTGGATTGGCCATTGGAGCACTTTATGCTACTCTGGGCCGGCTCTATTGGGTGTCTCAGACCCAGCCGGCCTGGGCTAGTGGGAGCAGCACTGCTTGCCCTCCCCGTGCTCCCAAACCCAAAGTCCTGCTCCTTATCCTGGGTATTGTCCTGGCCTTTTGGGCCTGCTTTCTGCCTTTCTGGATCTGGCAGCTGCTGCCTCTGTACCAACCTGACATTCTGCGGACATTACCAGTGGGGACACAGGTGACAGTGAATCGTATCCTCACAGGGCTGACCTATGGAAACTCTTGTGTGAATCCATTCTTCTACACACTACTGACTGGAAAACAAAGACGCAACCGGCAGACACTGCCATCAGTAAATCACCTCTGCAGCAAGAATAGTCCACTGAAGTAATGCGTGTCTCAGTAAAGACAATAATGTGATTGGTTACGTGTGTGTTTAACAGTACGCAGACCTATGAAAATGTACTGTACACAAATGCTACATTTTTACAATTAACACAAAGTACCATTGATCTAGCCTGAGCCTCCAAACTAAGAAAACACAACAATACTAAGCAAATGATAGCACTTTGTCTAAATGCTCTATGAACTGACAATATTTCCTATCAGGAGATTAAATGTTATTAATATTTGGGTTATACCAGTGAGAAAAGAATCTCTGTAATATGTGTCACCAAAGTAACGTTTAATCTGCAAACTTTTTCCAAACTTTGGTGCTCATATCAAATCATGCTTTTGATTGTTGTAATAAGCAAGATTAGATGTGGGTAATTTGGTTTGAAATGATTTATTATATTTGACTATGGCAAAATAAGAAGTAATTTTCACGTAAAGTAACTGCATGTATCACATAATTTAAACTCAAAAGTTAAGAATGGAGAGGACTCTTATTTTAATACAACTTCTGCCCTTCAAGAAAACCTGTACTATTAGGAAAGCAGAGTTGATGCCATATGCTGCACGTGCACAAGCATTTCCAGTAACACCCAGATGCACTTCTGCTTGTTTTCAGAGAACTACCAAAGAAAATGTTTGTTTTTGAACAACTGGTTGTAACTGGTCAGGACCTTGTTGAGACATTTTTCTGAGACTGTGTTGGCAGAATGAATTACAGTTCAGCGGGTCAATAGTCTTGTTTGCTTCCCCTGAACCTGGACATATTTAAAGGAACTGACTTTTTTTTTTCCAAATCATAACCTGCATGTTGGGTTTCAAAATATACTTATTATTATGAATCATGCAATGCTTTGCATGCCCTCAACTTGTGTTGACTGTAACTGATGTTTATAATGATGCATAATACAGTATAGCCTTGAATAAAGAGTATGCTTTCTGTAATTCAGGGTATCACTGGCTCTTTAACTAGACACCAGCTCTGCCAAAAAGAACACGAAATGATTATAAGAGATGTAAGAAGGAATAAAATTGAGAAACAACAATGGTGAAGTGAAAACTAAACAGGCTGAAAAGCAGAAAGTTTATTGTAGGTAATAGGTGTGTTATACAAAAAAAGGGACAATAATCCCAAACTGTCTGTGTCAACATGTCAGTGACTCTAGAAGGTCTTCCCTGTTCTTGTGTATATACTTGTTGGCTGGTTTTTCCCTGTTGCAATGGCATGTGTCCGTCTGTTTGACTCAAAGACTACACTGTATCACACACCCTGCTGCTCTTCAGCACAGATGAAAAAATACTGTTGTCTGGCAGAGAAGAGTAAGAATGGGATGATGGGACAAAAGGGGTGGGCTGAAATCATATGAGCATGGTGCATTTGTCAAAAGGCCAAAAACATGGTGTTCAGTTTGATGATCGTGAAAACCTGGGAATTTTCATAGCAAAATCAATAAAACAATGTGTTGTCATTAATGCAAAACTACTGAATGAATTTATTTACCTTATTCCCATTAAGATAAATTTTAATTCTATGCACTGTCCTGTAAGGAAAGAGATATACTTACATTTACAGATCTCTAATCAAGTGACACCAAGCATAAGGACAGCAGCGCCTTTCTCAATCACACAATAGGACCATTAAGCACTCTTAACAATGGCTAACTGTGTTTTGACTTGATAGTCACTAACTTCTGTGAGTGCATAATTCCTAGGCAAATATTTACTGGAGTGATTTCATGTTAAATGCAATGCAAAATGAGACTCGAGTTATGTGAAGAAAATAAACTTAAACATTGGGTTTATGTATTTGCACATTAAGTGAGGAAAAGAAAGCCTGAAGACTACAGGAGAATCTGTGAGGTCCTAAAGGGCTGTACTGCATTGGTAAAGCCCTAACCAACAGGCTGAAGAGACACATACCAAAAGCATTTGTCAAAGGAGCCTGTGTGATTCTCGGCACTCTGATGCCATTAATTTTTAGGCTGCAGGGTCCTTCTGTAGTCTATGCTGCCTACCATATGTTTCCATTTACCTGGCCTAGCTATCTCTGAGCCAACCGTCCCACTACAGTTATTATCCACAGCCCTGTGCGGTCACACCACAGGGGTCGATTCTGTTGCGAAGTTAATGCAATAGCCATCCACCTTTCACAGACAACACAAGCTCTCTCAGCACATTTGTCCATTTAAGTAGAATTTCTTGCAGATAAAGAGCCAGCTTTAAACAGCTGAAATCATGGGCCCTCACGTGAGACTTGATGATTTTTGGACCCCTGGGTCATACCAAAATGACAGAAGATGGAGGGTGTAGCTTGTGTAAAGATGAAACCTATCCAAAAAAGACACTTAGCAGCAGTGTGCATATTAAAGCACAGGGCGCTTGTCGTTCAGTTTTCAGAGTCTACATAGCGGACAAGTTTTGGTTGTCCGTGTGTTCTAAAACTCAATATATCAGATGATTAAGTCCTCCCTCAGGTCTGTGAGGATGACCGAGTGTTTGATAAACTTCAAATACACAGTGTTTGGTCAACCCAACCAAGTGAATGGAAAATATTGTCTCAGTTAGCAGGCTGGCTGGTATATAAACTTTGTGTTGGTAGTTGCCAGCACCGGCCAACTTGCTCCAATCATAACTTCTGTTCTCCTGCGCAACAGAAGCTTCTGATTTCATCCTGAGATTGCAGGCAATGTCCTCATCCTCACTAGTCCACAGGGAAAACACAAGAACAAATATTTTCTTTTGGTCTGTTCTACCTGAGGTTTTCATAAATCCAGCACATGTCCCTTTCCTGGAACCATCAAGCATCTTTCCATCCCAGCAGCCTTTGCCCCGCCTGTCAAGCTCTCCTCTTGACCAGAATGTGAGGCTACTGCAGGTGCCCCTCCCCTGGGCAGCCCGCAAAGGAAAGCGTCCCGCTGTGTAGACGAGACGAAGCCGCAGCCCGGGCCAAATTCACGCTGTGAGGTGTATAAGAGGCTCCCATTCTCTCCAGACATACACAAAAAAAAGATTCCCTTCGCACTCCGCCTCCGCCTGCCCTGCTCGAAAATTCAATCTTCCCATCTGTTTTCCCTCTCTCAATCACTTTTTAGCCCCTCTACACTTTCTGCCTTATCCACACTTTCATTCCTCTGCATGGTCTCACCTTTAATTACATTAATGTTTATAATGTACAGTTTAGCATTATGAATGACAAAAACTCCCAATTTGGACTCTCATGATTTTCAGTAACTAATCAGCTTTCAACATTTGTAAAATCACAGCAGTATTTAACAAACTCACTAATTCAAGTTTTATGACACACACATGCATTTAAAAAAACAGCTTGTAATTGCTGGTTTGACAGCAAACAGTAAAACTTAAGACACACACACACAGTGTTTCTTTGTTCAGCACATGGTAACCTCACAGGGAGGCGCCCTCCTCCCCATAACGTCCCCTGACTTCACACCACTGTGTCAGCCGCCAGGATCAGGCGAGACCCTGGCTTCCATGCCTTGAAGGCCGGAGGTTATATCAACCGACATACACATCACTGTTCGCACTTGGGCCCTTACTAGGAAGGACAGTAAATATGGCATGTCTGCCCCATCTCACTCCTTCTCCTTGTGTTGCAATGTGTTCCTCTGTGCTCTGCTGCCGACTCCTCCCCTCAGCACATTGCTCATACACAGTCATCTCTGTCAAGTCAGGCGTCAAAGCTCCACTGACGGCTGACCTTCTGACACTTCACTCATCTGCACCCCATGGTTTCAAGCATTTCCATGACACTGGACAATACTAGAATAAAAGCCTGCGTAGCCTGAGATGATTAGTTGTCTGACAAAAAATTAATCAGTCACTATGCCAGTAACCACCACTTTCTTCATCTTGTGGGTTCAGACACTGAATATGTTGGGGCTGTCTGTTGTTCAGGCAAAGCAAGGCATTTTAAGACATATAACCTTGGACATTAAAAAATGTTAACTGACTTTTTTTTTGCTATTTTTCTGACATTTGCTTCTGATGTTCCTTACAGCACTATTATGTAAATGGACACTAATATTTCTTAAGTGCTGCAGCTTCCCAAAAGACTTTGTGCTGTAGAAAAGGTGCATTTCAAACTGAGGAATGACAGCTATGAGAGTTTCCATCCAGTATTGTCGACATAAAAAGTTATGTTCTAGGTGGTGAAATTAGGGCTTGGTTTGGACCAAAAGGTGAAATAAGCAGTAGTAGGGTTCATGTTTGAGTGTGAGGTTGAAGGCCTGCAGGTCACAGTCAGAAGTAGAGTGCCATCTGCAGGTGAAATTAACATTTCTCCCATTCAACTTAATACAGCTGCTACACTAACTATAAAGAATAAATGATTTCCTTTCATAATAACTAGTTTACAATTCAGTTCTGTGGTAAACATTCAATTCGATTTGCACTGTGCCATGTAAGAATGTCAGGTCAGTCAAATGTGAATCAAACAGTGGTTTGATATCTCCAAGCTGTCCAGACTGATGTCTATATTCTTGCAGCTGTACTGTGTCACAATATTGTGTCTTTTTTCTCTCCAATGACATTAATGTAGACCGTTTAGTCAGACATTTATAGAGTTACTATGCCTGTACTCAACCTACTCCACGGAAGCTCCACTTGTCTGTTTTTGCGATAACTGAACTTCCAGTGGCTCAGTAACTGACTCATCCCAGTAAGATTGTCCCCACAGAAAAGAACACCTCAGAACAAGCACTGTTCACCCATCAAAGAGCAAATCTTGACAAAAAATATGATTTAAACCCACTATGAACACCAATACATACGAGGCTTATGGTCAGCTAGTAAGGTTTTTCTGATCTCATATTCAGCAGGTCAGATTCTCAGTTTGAACAGTGATGAAAACAGTAATGCAAAGTACTACTCAACTGCTGTACTGTAACTTCATTAACATTATATTGATGACAAAATCTACTTTTCATAAAGATAAATATAGCTCATTAAAAACAACCCATGTTTAAGAGGTACAAATATTTTTTTAAATAAGAACATGAATCTTTCTTTATGACTTTATAATGCTGAGATGGGAAAGGTTAAACTACACATTTTAAAGGTGAATATGTAAAATTAAAAAGTAAAGACTTTATTTGGCTGACTGTTCACTGTCAAATCAAATATCTTGAAGCAATTACTTTTTAAAGATATAATAGCAAACCTTAAAAAGTACTATTGGATGGTGTTTAATTACTGTAGTAAGGAAAAAAAAATCAATTACTTTCATTCTTGTATTAGAAAGTACAAATAAATTCAGTCCTAACAGAATGACAAAGCCAGTGCTGTGATTGAAATCTAATACCAAGCCTTTTAAAACAATCCAGTTCCTCTTACGCACACATGACAGACGTTGATCATAATCAAACTCAAGAAAGCAGACTTTTGCAGGCTGTTTTTAACACCATGCAACACAGAACAAAAGAAATTCAACCAGGGCTGTTGGTTGTTCAACCTGTTGAACACACAGCGTTCTCACCTTCCACAGTAATCTGCACTCTGGGCCATGCTCCTGAGCTCCTGGGTGGTCAGTAACTGAACACCTGTACCTGCCAGAGTGTCTCTGAATAACCAAGCACATCAGAACAGATTGGGATGTTGTGTTCTGTGATGCTGGATGTTGGGTTTATCCAGCATCCACCTTCAGGACCAAACAAGGCCCCTGGCTCAGGTTGCACCTCCCTTCACACAGCAGGCAGCAAGTCTGGCACTCTGACACTCTGCAGCCATGTTTAGTTAAAAAGATTTACTCTGTAGCCTAATCTATTTTCAAAGGAAATAAAATTGCTTCCAACATGTCAAAAGATAATTCAAACTAGCAAGCTGTGCTAGGAACAGGCCATGCTTACAGAAACAACAAATATTGTAACCCTATTAATATGTACCATTGTAGTTTTGCTGAGTTTGTTCAGTCAGCTTGGAGAGCAAACGTTTTGATTTTTATATGTATTATATTGCAATTTGCTAGCTTGCATTGGTTTAAATTTACAAAGTGACACAAAAGGAAAATAGATCTACTTTAGCACAACTTACAAAATTCTGACACGTCTTAAAAGTTATATGCATTCGAGCACTTACAAGCTTTCGATAGACATCTTTAGAAATAGTGTAACTAGATAAACCTCCCTGGACTAAGTGTCCTAAACGGTTTAATCGTGAAGCATGTGGCGCGGCTCAAGGCTCAAACTCATCCAGGGAGGCATCACACCTGAACTTAGTCGCCGCTCATGACAAATATGTGCTGATATCTGGCGCCCTCTGGTGGCCAGTAAACAACAGTAGCCGGAAACGGAAACGACGAGACACGAAGCCTTGTAGCTAATAGGTATCGCCTGTGTGTAGAAACCAAGGGAGATTTTTTCACTTTTTTGCGCTGAGAAGTAAATTCTCCACTCGACAAGACATTGATGTCATTTTGTGGAACCCAAAACAGCGGGTGAGTTTGTTAAAACGGGCTGTTTTCATTTTTTCTGTTATATTTGATCGTCGAGATGCGGTCAGCTGGCCGGCTAGCTAGTGAACGTTTATGTGATCATGGCGGAGTGTTGTTGGGCTGATGCCACACATTGGCTCATGCTAATATCTGATAATTTATTGTTATAACTTACAAGTTATCGGTTTATAGTGTCCCTGTCTGTTTTATACACGAATGGTCACAATAAGCCCAAATCATTAGAGCTAAGAAGAAGAAGTTTAGAATGTCACTTTTTGATCAATTTCCAAAACATCAACAATAACTGTCGGTTAGCTAATCAACGGCAAGTGTTTTGTGGGTAGCGTAGGTTATACCAGTAAAATCAAAGGTTAATTCAGTCCCCTTTCTTTTCCTTCTTTTTTTGGGTCCTCCCAGCCGCCGCAGCAAATGGGACCAGCCCGGCCCCGGCTCTGGTCCCGGCGGGTTGCGGGGGGCTGAAGCTGCACCCACCGGGGCTCTGGACGCTGCTGCTGCTGTGGCTGCCAAGATTAATGCCATGTTGGTAGCTAAGGGCAAACTCAAACCCTCACAGATAGGAGCCCCAGGGCTACCTGATAAGGTAAAGAGCACCGTTCGATAGCGAGCATTATACACCTGGTTATGAACTTCAGCAGCTCAGACACAGGATCACCATGTTAGCAGGGAGGGCAGAATAGCCATATATTTAATACCTTTTATGAAGTTTAACATGCTAGATTACTGTAGAAACTGTTTTATTGGTATAAGGTATTGATTTCAATACTGGCTAATGGATTGTGTGCTGCTCTTGAATTGTATTCTGTTATATTAACAGGTGTTCTTATTATTTTGTCCAGTCTATTTACATCAAACAGGCTAGGCCAAATAACAAACATCTCTCTGTAAATTCCTACACAGTTCAATAGCAGCACAAACTACAGCTTGCAAAATAATCATCCAGTTCAATAAACACTTTTCTAAAATAACTTCAACCCAAAAACTGAACATCTCCACCAGGAGGGAGGATTTATTGCAAAACTGTTGAATTGGACTGCATTAGTTTTAGCTTGGTGTACCTAATAAACTGGCAGCTGAGTGAACACCATGAGACAATAAAAACGTGTCAAATACCACACAGTTTTCTGTAACATCAATACCTTGGTGGTTGTATTAGGTCATTGTGGGCAATGTTGCAGTGAATAGGATTGATTTGTGGCAGTATTAGACTGACAGGACTGTTGACTGTGACAAAGTATACAAATGTATCGATGTTGTGTCACAAAAGTACTCAGGCTGCCCACCTCTGCTTTGTGGTTTGACAGTTTTACATTGGAGCAAAGCTCTGTTAAACCAGACTCACTTCTTATATCTGTAAATGACTGTGGAACTATTTGTTAGAAGTGGTGTGAAACCCAACCTGCCATTTTCAGTTTGCATTAAGCATTTGTGTTAATAATCTGTGAGAAATCTGACTGAAAAGATAGTTGAGTTCACCACAAAGTTGGTCACAAGTTTTCTTCAGATATAATATTGGTATAGTTTCTTGTCCCAGTTTACTGACATTGACCCCACTTTATCTGGAGTGAGACATACCTTATGTGTTGACTCCTTACTCAGGCTGTAGGCGTTGGAAAGCCTCCACTACCGACAAAAGCAAAAGATGACTTGGTCGTCGCTGAGGTCGAGATCAATGACGTCCCGATCACTTGTCGGAATCTCCTCACACGTGGTCAAACACAGGATGAGGTCAGCAGCAATTTGGACAGTCCTACTGTACAGATTTAAATGAATCCCTTGCCATGTGAATTATTCATTTATATGTTTTGTACCTCTACCATTGTTTATCTGCAGATCAGTAAAGTTAGCGGTGCTGCAGTTTCAACCAGAGGGCGTTACATGACAGCAGAGGAGAAGGGCAAAGCATTATCAGGGTGAACTCTCTCACCTCTGCTTTGTAGTAACTGATCATAAAACAAGTACACATACTGTTTAATGTCGTTGCGTTGACACAGTCCGTTTCTGGTCTTTCCACACAGAGACCGGCCTTTGTACCTGCATGTCCAAGGGCAGACGAGACAGCTTGTCGACAGTCAGTGCTTTCACACTTATCTTTAATTGATAATAAATGCACATATTCATATATAGACTCTAATTACACTGATTACCCCTGTCTCTTTCTCCAGGGGCAGTTAACAGAATCAAGGAGATTGTTACCAATGGTGTGGTCAAAGCTGCAACTGCCTCATCATCGTCGTCATCTCCATCTTTCTCGTCAAGTGGGGCATCAGTCACCGTGTACCATCAGCACAACCCACCTCCACCCTCACTGCCCCCCATCACTCATCACAAACAACACTTTCAGTCCAGGGTAAGACACCGCTCTTTTTGTTATCTTACTTTTCATAAGCTGAGATGACGTCACTATGAAAAGCTTAGTGTTCACCATAAAAACCTTTAAGTAGAGATGCACTGAAGAATTATGGATCTAAATTAGAATTTGGACAAGTATTGGAAAAAAAAACATTTTTTTTGTGAATGAGATAAAAGCCTCACTTCTATTCTTCATGTTTCAGTCAAAATCAATCAGTATTTGGTTGCTAAATGATTGTAATGTATATAGTAGTATTTATGCCTTTATCTTTTTGTCTCAGATGCATTATGTTCAAGATAAAGTCTTTGTGGGCCTGGAGCATGCTATCCCAGGGTTTGTGGTCAAAGAGCAGGTTGAGGGTCCCGGATGTTCATATCTGCAACACGTCCAGGCTGAGACTGGGGCCAAAGTTTTCCTCAGAGGAAAAGGATCGGGTTGTTTAGAGCCGGCCTCTGGACGAGAAGCTTTTGAACCCATGTACATCTACATCAGGTAGCTGTTGTCCTAAAAATTAAGAAATACTATAAACCTTTCTTGTCAGAGAAGATTCCTGCTTGTGTAGTAATATGAGTTATACACAGAAGTTTTTCTCCACAATGATGGTCCTCTAGAGCTAAATTTTTTTTTTTTTCCTCTCCAGTCATCCTAAACCAGAAGGACTTGCAGCAGCGAAAACCTTGTGTGAGAACCTGCTTCAGACAGTGAGTAATCCCCTGTTACTGTGAAATGATGAACCCTGAGGCTTTGTCCAGGTCTGTGCTCTCCCATTACAACTACAACTATAGTTGTGCAGGGTGCCATTATTGCAGCTATTTAGAAATTTAGCCTGTTAAAAACGGCCACAGAAATCCAAGCAGCCCACTGTCAAATGTAGGGCTGTACCCAACTACGAATTTTACGAAATCCAAATCTGCAATCCCTGACTGTGGAGTGTGCCCCTTATAAGCTCAGCCCAGATCTCTTCACCGTCTTACTGTAGAGCTGCACAGAGTAAAATGTAAACAGTCTCCTCAGCCACTGGACTGTCTGGATGTCACTGGTTTTTACTTGAGATAGTTGAAGAAGTACAGTGGGTACAGAAAGTATTCAGACCCCCTTAAATTTTCCACCATACTTTATATATACAGTGGGTACGGAAAGTATTCAGACCCCCTTAAATTTTTCACTCTTTGTTATATTGCAGCCATATGCTAAAATCATTTAAGTTCATTTTTTCCCTCATTAATGTACACACAGCACCCCATATTGACAGAAAAACACAGAATTTTTGACATTTTTGCAGATTTATTAAAAAAGAAAAACTGAAATATCACATGGTCATAAGTATTCAGACCCTTTGCTGTGACACTCATATATTTAACTTAGGCTCTGTCCATTTCATCTGATCATCCCTGAGATGGTTCTACACCTTCATTTGAGT